GATCCATTTCCGCTGTCGTTTGGTTGTACATATAAATAAATCCATGCTCCCATTACATTTCACCCAGTAACAAAACTGAAACGCCGAAAAATCTATTCTATCACATAGCCAGAAACAGCTCCAGCCCATCATTCTGTGGGGGATTCGCTTCGCAGAGCTGGTGCATTTTGCCGCCCCTTGCCAAATTTGTTCGCGACTGCGGGTTCCGACAGCGTGTTCCAGACCTGCCAAACACGTACGCGAGGAGAGCGTCTGTCAGTGGAAGGGCCACACATGGAAGCTTTGACAGACCATGTATACGGAGGCTGTGGTGCTTACCTTCAGTTTGCCTTTCGATCCTCCGCACGCTAACAGGAAGGGGTTGTCGTTCGAAAACGACACCGAGAATATAGCTCCCTGGGAACAACAAAACAGATGGATGAGCAACATGGTATAGCTCCCTGGAACAGAATAGAGCTCCACACTGCAGCAACTCTTTCCTTTTACTGATGGACAAAGGATGGAATTCGGTGAGAGTACGTACAAGCTTAGGATTCAGCGACGAGACGCACGAAGGCTGGTTGTTCGATAGATCCCAGAGCTTCACCTGTGTTTACAGATAGATATGTAAGCAAATGGTTTGATCAATACCACGAGTGTTAATAGCTTCTTCAGCACAAAGTTAATAAACGGACCATTTTGTCAGTTGAACCAGTCGCAAGGAACTGCAAAAAAAAAAGGCAGGATCAGTAATTCGGTTCATGTGGCGGCATCTCTCTGTATTTAGCACACTGGTATGAAAATGGGACATACGTTAGGGGTAGATGGGGCGAAGGATATGGAAGAAACGGCCTTTTCGTGTGCATGCAGAGTAAACACCGGCTGTCCAGGATTTGAATTTGATGAAGCTGTCCGAATATCAAATGCTTGAACCATCCCATTTTCAAGACTAACCTGCAAGACACAGCTGCCACATTAGCATACCATCGAGTACATAACACATGCAACAAAAAGAAAATCACAGACACAAATTCATTCTGAGATTAGAACTTAGTATAGCCCTAAATAATTAACTACAGGGATCCAAAGATGATAACTATAGACTTGCTTCATGGAAGAGCAGAACTGTATTCATCTTGATTTCAATTATACTGTTTCTAATGGAAACTTCACTAAAGTTCAGCAGAAAGTTGTTGTCTGTCAGAAATTTCCAATCGTTCTATAAAACGACAGATAACTGAGTTGAACGGTAAAATACAATGAAATCACTTACCACAAAGGAGTGTTCATTGTGTGGATCACAAACTAAGCTCTCTACATCTGCTTCGACAGGCCATTTATGACAACATTGTTCAGTGTCTTTCATATCTGTCTGTAAAATGTTACCAATATAAGTTCAGTGGATATAAGCACAAAATATATAAAAATATGCAACAACCTTCTCAACAAGAATGTCAAATAAACACTGAACTGCATCTCAAAATATCTACGGTAATGCAACAGGCCGCTCCACAAGAATGACAAATCAAATTATCTTCACCTATGAAGGTGAACTCCCAGAACCAAAAGAAGAAGGTAGTAGTAAGCAATATGTTATATAACTAGTATGATCGCCTTTAATTAGTGGCTACTCATCCAAAACTGGTTAGTATCCACAGCTCAATTACACAAGCAGACGAGATTATAATTTGCTGACAGGCTGGAGATCAGAATGCTGACACACTCTGGTCAAGTGACAAACAACCAGAATACGTAATAAGCAGCAGCAAAAACTTCAGGAGAATAATTCACATGATAGCCAAGGACATCCATTACCATGGCAATTGTTCTATCAAAAGATCCACTGAGAAGAACTTCAGGTGACCTCCAGGCAACTGATTGAACCTACATGTTGGGCAGAAGGAAAATTAACTTGATATGCCATCATATAATATTTTGGACCGATACATACAGAATTCAAGAAGAATGAGTATCAATCATTACCTTGTCATCATGATGCTGCAGTGTGACTAAACATTTACCAGCACTTAAGTCCCAAACTTTCACAGTTTTGTCTGCACTTGCACTAGCTAGAGCGTTCCTGAAGTAAAGGAGTAATCAGCAGGGGTCCGGTAAGTGAAAAGAGAGTGGGAGATGCAATCACTTGAGCTGAAACAAAAACGCACCTCACCACCGTGTTCCACGCAAGACCAAGCACAGAACTTCTATGGCTACCCTTCTTATATGTTTTTCCCTGGAGATGACATGCAGCATGAATAATGTAGCTAAGGATTCAAGGAAGGAAGGAATGCTCACTCGCTCACAGGAATACATGAATCATAATATCATGAATACAAAGTACCAACATTTGTTCTACACACATTGTACCCTCATCCAATCAGCATCATTTTGCACCAACATCGTCAATTTGACAGCAAAAAAGCAACCCAATCTGCACCTTAACTTACTGAACCTACTAGGACCTGTGTAACGTACTTAGCAAGGAAGAATTGTAGATCAATTCAATCTCGTTTCATGTGCCTTTTGTTTAGGTGGAGTTAGCCTGGATCTCAACCATCCATTTCAGCACATTTAGTGGGATACAAAGCTAGTAAGCTACACGGGGAACATACTGGTAAATTGGTAATGTTAGGTCACACTCTCAGTCAATCTCAATCTAGCCTAAGTTTAGAAATTACGAGACCAGGTTGCAGATTTCCCCACATGATAACCTGCTGTGGTTGCCATGAAAATCAAAGGGGAAAAGAACATAAAATTGGGGGAATGTTGGGAATGTCAAGACTAGACTTTACAATGAGAGCAAGAAAAGGAGTCACGGGAAGCAAATAAGCAATCAAAAACTTCAAAATATCTCAACAATGAAATATTAGTACTAGCATACCTTTTTCCCCTTAACTTTTTTTTTCTTTTTTGAAACTCCTCCTAGCACATAATGTGGTTCGACCTCGTCGACCTGTTACATAACATGAAAGTCCACAAAACAGTACATTAATTTCTTTGAAGCAAAGCAATTCAAGGCCATAGGAAATAATAGTCATGTGTGTTTCTGAAATCTTACGACATCCAAGTTCCATATTTCAATTGTAGGATCCATGGTGCCAACAGCTATGAAATTTCCTGCAACAAAAGATGAGGAATAGAGTAAAGCCTTAGCATATAGCTTTCTTCTGCACAAACAGTTGGGCACTCTTTACTTGTCAAAACTCAAGTGAAACCACAATTTAACCTTTCTGTTCGCCATCCTGACGGTTAAAATCCATCCAAGCCGTGCAGAGCGGAAAATCTGAGAGAGGGACCTCATGGTGCACAAACATATTAGGATCCCCATCCTCCAATTCTTCCACTATGCTAACCTGTCATAGATAATAAGGCCGCTGGTCACACCATCATGCAGTCCAACCAAAAACAGAGGCTATATAAGCTAGTAACCCCCAGCAAAGAGAGGCACAGAATAATATATGGAGACTAATGTGAAGTAAGTATATTGTGTATGACTGCATCCATCAATCTGAGTACAAATTTACTCAATACAACCAGCATTAAGCCCGGAATTCCATTGCTCCACAAAGGTTTGGTCTTCACATTCTTTGAGAAGTACGAAAAAAGGAACCATGGCATCATTTTTACAAGATGCGACAAGAAAATGCTACTCGACACTTGCCTGGAGAGAATTGAATTCATCCTCGTTATGAGCGCAAACAATCACTATATCAGTAGGTTTGATAGTCATGTCCTCAATCTCCTCATCATCGTCCTCACCATCGTCCTAATAAAGCGGAAAAGTGGGCTCATTATCCTTGGACGTGATAGCAAATACCCCAAACAAACAGCATGGTTCTATCATGGCAAGAGAAAGCATACTCACATCCTCATCGTTCTTGATGATATAGGGGTCCTCCTCGTTGCTTTTGTAGTACAAGTCCCCCAGCCCGGTGCTGAAAAGCTCGAGCCCTGACCAAAGCACAAGTTACAGCTCAAGTATCAGTCAGTCACACAAGACCTGCAGCGGATGGGGCAGTCACGGGAGCACGAGCGCCTACCATCCTCCTCCTCGTCGTAGGCGTCCATGTTGAGCTCGGCGAGCCCGTCGGAAACGTCGCCGACGGCGCCCGAGCCCGAGCTGCTCTTGGTCCCGAGCGCCTTGGCGGCGGCCTTGGCCTGGGCGACCTCGTCGACCTC